CCCAGCCCAATCACAGGACCAGTTATATATATATATATAAATTAAAGCCCGCCTCCCAAGGCCACCATTCTCGTAAAAAGTACTCAATGCGAAAGCCATGGGAGGGTCCTGTATGCTGCCATGTACTGGCATCAGGAAAGGAAAATTACCGATAGGTAAGTATACAATTTTCCGTTTTCCTGATACCATACATGGCAGCATACAATGGGATATAGCGATCACACAAACAGGGAGGGTAATTCTGAGATAATAAACTATTTGTACCACATTCAGAACCAACTACCCCATGGATCTTACTCCTGGATAGACCCTGTAATGGAACAGGAACATATGGCAGGTTAATGCCTTCCATAATAATTCTGGAGGTACATCACTGAATTCTATCGGTAGGGATGACAGTCTGCGGAAGAGCGAACCCAGAGATTAATCTGTGGCTCCATCTGCTTGACCATGCACAATGCATGTGACCTAGTGCACAGAGTGCCACTTACCAAATCCACCAGAAAGATGAACAGATCGACCTGAATAACCTCCATGCTCTTCCCCAGCATAGCAGCCGCATTGCTGGCATGAGCTGAAATAAAAATGTTATCCTGGAATACTGGCAACATTGATGTACCATTTAGATGGAAGAATCTTTCAACCTTCGGAAGATGCTGGGAGAGAGAGATTTAGGACTCCCTTGCCTGGGAAATAGTTTCAAGAAGGTGGTTGCAGCCCAATCTTGACTATCCAACACACTCCTCACCGAGAAGATTACCGAAAGGAAACTATTCTACATGTTGCTGTCCACACTGAGTAAGTGTGAGCCAGATGAAGTCGAGGAAGGAAGAACATATACAGCACCAATTGTAGATTCCAAGGGAAAGAATAGACTCTTCGGAAGAGTGAATCCTTGCGCAGAGTCCATAAGAACTGGCTTGAGCAGTGAGGACAGAAAAAAGAATGGTGGCCTTGGGAGGCGGGCTTTAATTTATAGTATAACTGGTCCTGTGATTGGGCTGGGGGCGGAGCCATACCCATTGTATGCTGCCATGTACAGTTTCATTTGTTTTGTAATGAAGCAACATAGATATGTGTCAGCAAAAGTCCCGCTCAGGAAGTGACGTCATAGATAGATTCACGGCCCTATTTTTGTGGAGCCTCCTCATACCTTCGGTCTCAACACCAGGTACCTAATAATATGTTTATTGGCTGACATATCGACAAGGCACATCTTGTCTTTGTTTGTGTGGCTCCATTATAAGACATATGAGTGGCTCTTCCATTAGACCTTTTGTATGTAATTGCCAGGAATGCAACCGGGCAGTTTTCTTACTCTTACCTGCGTGCGGTGCCTACCATTGGGCTTTTATATATATTAGGGATGCATTTAGGGATATATATTAGTGATGCACCGATACTAGTATCTGTGCCGATACCGAGTATTTGGACAAGTACTCATACTCACCCAAATGCTCCAATACAATGCTCCCATCCAATACAATCGGTGATCAAATCGGAGCTTCCGGTCAGAGAGAGATTTCCTGACTAATCAGACTAATCAGCATTGAACAAGATGAAAAACTGGTATCGGTGCATCCTTAATGTGTGTGTGTATGTGTATATACAATATATCAGGCAAAAATATATGCCATCAAACAAATAAAAAAAATATTATAACAAGACTCTAACACTTATTGACAAAAAGTAAATGTTATGTTTCAAGAATTTAACAAGATATGTACTGTTGCCATTGCATGTTTGTTGTGTGCTCATGTAGGTAAGCAATGTAGCAGGTGTATCTACTATGCACTGGATTCCATGAATAGCCTGCACTTGATATTTCACCTTTGACGTGAACAGCTCCAGTTGGCTTGCCAATAAAAATACAAGGTACCGAGTTCATCATCTAGTCTAATTTTCTTTAGGAATTTCAGCAATGAATACACATCATCTGACAAATGCCAGATGTCAGTAAAACATAGAATGTTGTAAGGCCTTAGTCATAGTAGGGCACAGAACTCTACTTCATGGCTGACAGGAAATGTCTTTTGATGTGTTTATCACTAAAGTTATTAAAGTGATACTAAACTCAGGAGTCAAACCTTAAAAATGCATTCTCACTTTTAGTTTACTAATTTGTATTGAGATTGTAGTCTATGACAGGAGTGAGCTTGGAGCGGTGGCTACTTTACATTACACTCAGGGACCATGGGGAACAAAAGTAGCCACCCTCCAGAAGGAAGACCAGTGTCGGCACAAATTCAGAGAGGATTTGAGGATCTACAGTCGATTGATACACAAATAAGCTACATTTCTGATAATAATTAAAATACTTGAATGCATTTTTAAGATTTAACTCCTGAGTTTAGTGTCACCTTAAACAAATGTGAACTGACCTAAAATGTGTCTAGGGTGTGAGTTAAGGTATGAAGTTCAGATACCTTGTGGTCTCTTGAAGTAGCTTGTTAGTCTTCCAGTCAATCCCTGTTGAACTCCTCAGATCCCAAGCCCTGGCCAGGACCTTAAAGTGACATTAAACCAGATTTTTTTTAACATAAAACAATACTGTAATGTGTGCCTTACTGTAATCCATGGTTGTTTCCCTTCTCTTTACTCCTCTTCCTTTTAAATCTGTATTTATTATCATGCTCTCCAGAACTTCTGTTTTGTGGCAGACTGCCTTGTCTCAGGAATGGATACACGGTGTCTGTGTATACGTTTGTATAGGCTTGAAACCTGAGCCAGCACTACAGGAAGAGGCCCTGAGCTGAAAAGGGAAGTTCTTCCCAAGCATGAGAAGACATGAGGATTTAAAAGGAAGAGCAGCAAAGAGAAGGGAAACAACCATGGATTACAGTAAGGCACACATTACAGTATTGGTTTATGTTAAAAAATCTGAGGGTTTAATGTCACTTTAACATCTTTCTTGCTTTGATTAAGCCCTGCCCTGGATAGTAGATGCAGTGGTATTTGATAGGTAAATGACATGGGTGGGACTTGGCAAAAGCACAAGGAGAACTTAATCTTGACTTATGAAAAAGTCAAAACCTTATGTGCAGCCTGCATTTGGTGCCAAGGGGTTCCAGAGGGCCACACAAATTTAAGTCTAACTCAGGTAGTGAATCAAAGTGCTTGCACTGTTATTACCGTAGGCATTTTTTTTACCCAATGTAAAAAAAAAAAGAAGAAGATTGTGCACTCCCTGACCTGATCCAATTCAATTTTATTTTACATTTGTGAAATAAAATTGCATAAAGCCAGGTCAGAAAGGCCAGGTATTTGACATCCCGGAAGTGCTGGAAACCAACTGTGGCCAGAGATCAGCATTCAATGAGGTTTTAGGACTCCATTCACCTTAAAGGTGAATATTTAATTTTCCTTTTACAGGCTGGTTTTCGTTTCAATAGAAGACATGAGTGGTAAGGTGGCTTTAAGGTTTTAGTCTTTGTTTAAACAAAAACAAAATGTCAGCCCATATAAAACATTCAGCACTATATTTTTAGCACTTTCTTTGGAAGGAAAATAGAGCAACATGCTTTTTTCCATTTGTTTCAAGTACATACCCATTTCAAGCATATAAGGCAGCATAATGTATAGCTAGATGATGTCATAGGAAAGGATGTTAATCCCATTTTCCCGATTTCATGGACTGGCAGTCAAACGTTTTATAACTACTTTTCAAAGATACTGCGAATATTGAATAAATATGTGCATTTCCTTCAGACATACTGTGCCTGTTTCATTATTGCTGTTAATGATAGCCAGGTTTGGGCCCCACCTAAAATAATATTTTCCTACAGCTAATTCTTTGCAGTCACTTCTGCTATATATTGTGTGCACAGTTTCCTAATGAAATGACAAAGCACCACATGACAAATTATATCTATACATGAAAATGCAATTTTGACTTCTTCGTCAAAGGGTCTTAGAATGGAAACCTTTCCATTGTTTTATGGAAAGTATTGCCCTTTCAAACACGTGATTAATTTGGCAATACAAAGTTTTAAATTGGTAGCAGCTCACCATGTCTGATGTTTACAATGTTTGATGATGTCTTGCAGCCCAGCAGACTGTGTATGGATGTCTCTGAAAATGGCTATTGCTCCTTCTCAAAACTCCAGCCTTACCTTCAGCCTTGTACAGCTGTACCGACTTCTCTAAGGTACTGAATTTGCTTACTGCAAGCTTGTGTATTAGAAGCTGCAGCAAGTCAGCTAGATCCCGTCTCATTGCCAGGCTAAAGGAGATCCTGCATCATCTAGCGTTTTCCTATACAACCTTACTGTCCCAGCCCGCACCCCCCTATTGGCGCCACACTGCAGTTCAGGTGAGTATAACTTTTTTTTTAGCACCTAGACAAAAACGAGCACTTAACCCTTGCAGTGCAGGGGTAGCCCCACTGCAAGGATTAAGAACACTTTTGTCCTGAGTTCTTTTTTTTACATCTCATTGATTTGAGATGTTGATAAGCAGGGAAAGGATACACAAGGGATGACAAGAAGGTTTAACTTCAGCATTAAAGGTAATTTAAAGGTTTCTTGTTTGTTTAACAAAACCTTTTTATGATGGCTGAAAAATTATGTATATTATTAATTAATTCTGGTTGTTTTGCAATGTGTTACACAAACAAACTACAAAGAAATTACTAAATAGATACATTGTTTCTACATCTCTCTTTCTTTGAATTCCAAAATCTTCTTTGGTTGCCTAAATATGACAAACATGTACCTCCCACAGGTTTTCTTTTCAGTTTGATAAGCAGTTGGAGCAGCTGAAGTTCATTTTGTCTTGAGTAATACTTACAGAAGCACAAAGTACACAGCACCAGACTAATTTCTAGCAAATGGTGTATATAAAAGTGATCTGTCTGCCTACCCTGCAACCAATTCAGTTTCAAGTAGTGATTAATAGTACAGGTTGGAAAGCTAATTCTACCATCTGATTTGTTACTATAGGTATCTCTTTTACTTTTTAATCTCTCCATATTTTATAAATTAGAATCTATGATTAATTACCCATAAAACGTATGTCTCATGTATCCAATCCTCTTTCCAAGTGTAACCAACTCTCCTTTTCTGACAGGTGCTCCGTCCAAGAGCACAATTCCAGATTTTTTCAATGTGCACAACCAGTTGTAGGCAGTCGGGTCACAGCGTAGGACTTCTTCATAAGACAACGTAGGGATTTTCAGATTGCTACCCCAGTAGTCATGCTCTGTAAAGATAGTAAATAGTGGTTATATTTCACGCTCAGATTACATATGCAACATACTCCAACCCCTCTCATACATTCCCAAAGCCCTCTGCTACAGCAGGAGTTTTCCCAGGCATTCCCATTCTTCCTGTTGCATTCTTCACTAAAGATGAGCTCATCTATTTCCTGGCCAGCCAGGGTACATCCTGCCTGGCATGGATTTTTAGGGGCCCAGTGCAATATTTCATTGCTTTCTTCTGCAGGACCTGTGGCCTGGTATTTCCATGTTGTGTTTGGGGAGTGCATGCTCTTCCCAAACTGGATGCCTGGATATGAATCTTGTATGGATTTTTGTTTGGGGGGGTCCAAAGCCATTTTTTCGCCAGGGGTCCCTCTATAAATTCATACCAGAGCTATACCAAGGATAGGGGTCTAATATAGATTTTGGTGGTAATCTACATCCTTTTTACAAACAAAATTAAGCAGACCTGGGAAATATCATTTAGCTGCAAATTTTAAAATAATTTAAAGGAATTGGGTAGGAATTTTTAATGTAGCACTTTAAGCCGCAAGGTAATTGTCCCCCATGGCAGTGCCCAGCTACACAAACCCCTGTTTTAACAAAACCTTGCAACTGGCTATGAAAAAGGTCAGAAAAAAAATTACAATGTTTGGCTCCATTAAAATGACGTTCAGGTGCTATGTTCAGGGTTCACTGACTTTTTTTTCAAGAGTTCAGTGAAAGGCCAGTGTACTGAACTTTGCTCAGTTTGCTCATCAATATTCTCCAGAATACAAAACAAATAAAAAATCCATTAGGGGGCCAACTTGCATTTGGAAGTGTGTGACATAGGAAGTCAACTGCAGAGACCAGAGGCTCCAGAGAAAAAAATAAACCACTAAGTGATTCTTCTATTTGTTAGGGTTGAGATTGAATGTTTATGAATGTTATTTCAAGTGAATCTCTTTGTGGCTAAAACCAAGCATGCATCATACAGTTGAGGGGGAGTACAACTGAGCGAGTCAATCATTATAAAGAATAGACATTCTGCGATTGGAGGAGGAGGAGAGGGAGCGGGAGGTGACCATCTCTCCTTTGCCAATCACAAAATGTCTTTTACTCTTTGAAAAAAATGCAAACATTTTGTGAATGGACAATAGTGAGGAAGCATGACATTGTGCCCGGAAGCTTGGCATTGTGTGCAGGAGATGACGTGCTGCAAGGTAAGATTTATATACTTTGCAGAGGTCCTCTGCACACAATGCACAGCTTTTTAATTATAATGTACACACCAAGTGCAGGGTGTAAATTATGATTTTGCCCGAACTGTGGCTTTAAAAAACAAAAAAAGCAACATTACTGTCACCTTCCCCAGTGACTCCAATGCATTTTGTCAAAATTTTCTGAACGCTCCCAATTTTTACTGAAATTTCAAAAGAATAAACTCTGTATCGCTTATCCGTACTCTTTATTATTACCAAAAACAGATGTAATAAGGGTAGACATTGCATTAAATACATCATCTCAAACAAATGCAGTTGTAGATCCCATCCCCACAAAATCCCAGAATTCTTATTAAGCCTTTTTGCCCAACGCACATAATTGTAGCATGTGCTTGTATAATTTTTGTCAGGTGCCCCTCGTCAAAGAATGAGAGATCATTTGTATTTCCTAGTAAAGCTCTTCCATGGAAAGGGCTTTTATGATACCAGGAGAAGTATATCCTTGTTTGTTTTTAGAAAGCTTTCAAAAGCTTATGTTCATGGCTGTAACAGCAATTTTGGAGAACTTCCTTCGCACAGATTAATCCATGGCAGACATATGTAAACACTTCAAAACATGTGAAAAATGGCTCTCACATACTAAAGCTATTTATAAAAATCCTCCCAACAGCAATATAAACGGTAGTTATATAATATATTGCACAGTGTCATAAGCAGTAGAATAAAAAATTTAAGGCCAACTCTACTCAAGACTTATTCAATTTGGGGTGGGTACCGGTGAGTTGATTTAACCCTTTGCTCTTGAAAACTCAAATAGTGAGATTTCCTTAATGTAGTTTGTGTCTTTAGCCATTCATAAGATGAGCAAAGCTAAGCAAAGATAAGATGTTTTGGTGGAAACACATCTTGTATGGGGTAACCGAGAGGTTCAAGAAGCCAGCATTTGAATGGCTACCAACTACACAAAACTAAAATACTAATTTTACGTTGGATTGTCATTAAAGTAGTATTAAACTCTCAAACTTTTTTTTTCATATACATTTTTTATTGAAGTTAAAATACAAGAAAGTGACAAGGTAAATCAAGGCATATTCACAGTACTCCAATGTACATACAGTATTATCATTGCATTTATGAATCGTATCCTGGAATTTGGCGATATCTACCGCAGAGGGTTGACAAACTGGCTAAGTTTACGCTTTCAGGTCTCTCAAACTTTTTTTAACAATGCATCCAGATCAAACATACATACATTGCCCAGCTAAGTATTTCTTCAGATTTTTGCCCAAGCACTTACAATCATCATGTTTCTGAACAGCTCCAGTTCTCCCAGCTCTTCCCTGAACTTCTTACCCAGTACAAGATCGCAAGGGACATAACTGTTTCCAGCAGTTGTCAATCTACGACTTGGATAAAGGAAGAGGGAGGAAGGGGTAGCAGGGAGCAGAGAAGTGCCTTGACTTGCTGTGCATTTGTGTTTTTGGAGACACACACACAGGTTACTAGCACACACAAGGATGCCTCCATAGGACCTAGCAAGGGAAAGGAGCCACCCTAAAACAGGGCATCAGGACAAGGCTCAGGGAACCAGCTGATACTGCAGGAAACTAAATACTGTTAGCATTAAGAGGCAGCATCCATTGCAAGTGATTTAATCAGCATTTGAAATAGGTAAATAATCTAAAAAAAAAAGAAGAAGTTAACGGTATAGGGAGGATAAAGTGTAGGCAAACTGCTAAATTACATACTTTAACTACATGTGTGTGAGTTGTCGCCCGTGCCAGAAATTCACCAGATACTATACAAACGTTCCAACCTTTTATTTTCCTAGTCTGCAGTGAAAGTAATAGAACTTGGTCAAGGTTGTGATTAGATAGTCAATGAATAGATTCTTCAATAGGTTTATTCATAAAGAACAGCTCAATCTAGTGGCTATAATGTTGTTTTCCAAAAATCACTCTGTTCCTTATGAATAAACCTACTGAAGAACGATCAACCAGAAATTAAAATACACTAAGAACATTTATTTGTGCCCCATACGCTCAACAGTTTCATTGAACTAATAAGCTGTGCATATTCTTTATAAACAGACTCCCATGTGTTTCTTGAAGAGCAAGAAGGCTGATTTTTTTTATTATCATAAGGACTCATACCAACACACTGTAGTAATGCATGTTAAAATGCACCTGTAACAGTAATGCATGGCAGCACAGAGTGCACATGTTGGTGCATTTCTGTGCCATTTATGAAGAAGAGTACACCAACACACCACCAGAATGCACCCATGAGTTATCACCAACATCAAAATAGACCATGTGACTTCAGGCTTTATTCAATAAGTTGTCAGAAGTGAATAAAATAAGAAACGAACAACCAACATCAAGGCCAAACAATAAAACATGTGGGGAACAAGTAGGATATAAATTTAATAACATGACAGGAATTAAATGTATGTACACCAATGCTAGAAGTCTAGTAAATAAATTAGAAGAGCTTGAAATTATGATACTCTAAGAGGACTTCGATATAGTGGGTATATCGGAGGCCTGGCTAGACGGCACACATGATTGGGCTACTAATATAGAGGGGTATAACCTATCGAAATATGCATATATTTTGTTCAAGAAATGTTTGGACAATTTCTTGAGGGACCGTAATATCCAGGGATACCAGTATCCCTAAGAATGAGATGATGCGTGGACCGATATGGGTTGTACTTGATGGACGTATGTCTTTATTCAACCCCAAATACTATGTAACTATGTAACATGCTAGGTTAAGGTTTTAATAAAGAGAGAGTTACTTTCATCAGTCACAGCTTTGTAATTCAGACTTTTGTTTTTCTATAGAATCAGTTTATCTACATCTGTGCTTGTTGCAATGTGCCTTTGTCTTCAACGCTTTTTGAGTCACTGACATGGAACAAGTATGCAGTTCAAAAGTTCAAGTTGGCTGTGATAGCATTCATGAGCGTATTTTAAAATTGTACAGCAGTCTCCTGGCTGTAATGTAGAAGTGACCTTGGTGACTGTAAAGCTGCCCGTTTACTTTTACATGGTGGTGATTTGTGTCATCCTTCCTTTGCCTTACCTTCCTCTCCTCCACATGGTCCCCAGGCTCTCCTGCAGCTTCTGGCAGCCCAGGAACCATACAAATTGCTCAGGATGGTGGGCGGAGGAGGATCAGTTAGAATCTAATTACCCATTCCCTTTCTGTGCAATAAAACCGGAAGTGATTTGCTTGGAGCACTTTTGGGTTCCATGCTGTCAAACCCTGCTTGCTCTGATGGGAAAAATGCAGATCAAGCACAGTTTTTGCCATCATTATTTTGTTATATTGATATCAGGGGCCTAATAGACTCCAGATTTCTCAAGAAAACCGGTCACCTGCCAGAACTGTCACATTGGGGGTTAACCAATCTCCTTGTAATATCAATAAAGTGAAAAAAGTAAAAGCTTTAAAATAATAATATTAATAAAATAATTTCAGACAAATGAACCACGCCTCACACATGTACACACATATGCATACCTAAGTGAAGCTTGGGTAACACACAGAAGGAAAGGATGCCCCCAAAAAGTTAAAAGTAGCAGAGACACCCGAAGACCAACTCTTACTTGTATGTATATATACATATATAATGAGGTCTACAGAGCTAAGGTACAGTTCTATTTGTATATATTTTGTTAAGCAATATAATCATGAAAATATGATACTTGTAGCTGTAATCTTTTTTAAAAAAAATGCATTTACAAACATCACTCTGATTAAAGGTCAAAGGAACTGTCAAAATAGCA